CCTAAAGAAGACACCACCACGTCTGACCATCCTGTACCCTCCCCAGGAGCTAACCCAGTACCTACAAAACAGTCAGTGCTCAAGAAGAATCTGTTAAAAGACCATCAGCCAAATACACCTTTTGAATCTTGTCTGTCATGTAAAGAACTGTATCCCACAAGCACCGATTATCCTATATATAAATGCCCCCTTTAAAAAATGAAATAGTTGGTTAAAAACTGAAACATCTGTGTGCACAATTACAGTGCCCTGGACTTGCTTTAGTAATTTTTTTTTAATTTAAGTTTCTTAGAGCAGTTTTAGGTTCACAGCAAAATGAAGAAGGTACACAGAGACTTCCCACAGGACCCCCACCCCCACACACGCACAGTCCCCCTCACTATCAACATCCCCCATCATCTGTTCCAACTGATGGACCTACACGGACAAATCACCCGAAGTCCACAGTTCACATTAGGGATCACTCTTGCTGTTGTGCGTTCTATGGGTTTTGACAAATGCACAATGATACATATCCACTATTCAAGTATTATAGAGAGTAGGTTTCACTGCCCCCAAACTCCTCTATTCTCTCCCTATTTATCCCCGCCCAACCCCAGCCCTCGTGGTAATGCTTTTTCAAACTATTTGTTTGGAGAATAAGCAACAGGTTTTCAGTTTTCTGGGCCATGTCTCCCTTGCAACTGTACAACTCAGCCATTAGAATGTGAAGACCTCCATAGACAATATATAAACAAATGGGCATCGCTGCGTTCCAATAAAACTTTATTTACAGAAACAAGCAGGCACTGGATTTGGCCCACAGGCTGTTGTTTGCTGACAGCCTGACAACCATGTCACTTGATAGATTCTCACCATTTTTACAAGAACGAAGTTTCTTAATAGCTTCACGTGGCATTAATAATTTACTTCTATTTTCTGTCTGAAACCTAACCCTGAAACCATACCCGGTCAGAAGCAGAGACTGCAGTGAAAGACAATTCCCTTTTCAGAATATCCCTGCTTTGAAGCTCCCTTGCCTTTCTCTGCTTTAAATCCCAAATTTCTGGTAACTCTGGAGGGAACACTTGCTCTTTGAAACTGTGATCTCTGTTTTGCCCAGAAGGGTGGCCCGGGCTGCCTTACGGAGCGAGTCCCATACGAAGGCTGCCGTGGGACATGCTGTTTGCCAGCCGAGCACTTCAGCGGAGCACTGACTTGTTTATGGTAAATTGGGAACAAGATCTTTTATTTCCAAAAGAAACCGTTTGCTCTTATGTTCGAAGAAAACCAACTCTCCTGCGGGATGATATGTGGACATCGACCACCTTCTAGTCACTGATTATCTATAAACAGAGCAGGAAGCAAAGCCATGGTTACCTAGCCTGGAAAATTCATCTCAGGAGATCCCATGCTCCAGAACGCCTGTGTCTACTCACTCTAGTGCAACCTACAAAGTTGATTTTACTGAAGGGAGAAGGAGTGTGTGTGTCACAACTGGGGTCCACTAACGTCACCCCACTGAGGCCCAGCACCTCCTCTGAAAACCAAGAGTCATGCCAACCACGAGGCTTCCTGTTAGCCACAGTAAGAAATCCAAAGAACAGCACTGATGGTTTTTCTAAGTGGATGTGGCAGTTCCCTGTAAGGCAATCACTGACCTGTCACAACAAAGAAAGAGAGCAGATAAAAATACTATCATCAACGCCTAGACACAGGGCAGGATTCTGTGTCTGCCAAGTAGTAAAAACCTGTAACTTTTTAAGTAGTGTCTTAAGCAAAAGATAGTAACAGCCTCTGTCAAAAAGCTGGTCTCCCACAGATGCAACATCAGCCATGCATTTGACAGGGCACCTGGCGGACAGCTCTGTCAGCAAATGCATCTGATAGGGAAGGTGTGCTTCTAAAACGAGCACTTTTGTGGGGCCTGGCCCCCACTCTCGAGGACCAGCGGTCTTCTGGGTTGATTTCTTCACACCCAGAGCTATTTCCTTCCCAAGGTCAAATGCAACACGGGATACTAAATTGTGCCGCTGTCCTTGGTCAACCATTGGAAAGCCAGGGTTCAGGTTTTCCCACAGGGGTTCACTTCTTTCTGCTTTTAGCATTGGAAGCCCCTTAAAGCTCAGCACCAAGTCTTTGGGAGGACAGAACATGCCCTAAAACAATAGAGAACTTGAGTGACACTACAGGGACAGAGATGGAGAGCAGACAGGGGTCAAGCCCAGGTGCATGCTGTTCCGGGGCCCTGTACACAGTGGCTGGCATCAGAATGCCAGATGATGAGCAGACAGTAACCGTGCGGTGGGGCATTCCTCCACTGGCACCACAAGTCCTCCAAAACAGACGCTCACTTAAAATGAGACTTCAGAGGGAGCGCCTGGGAGGATCAGTCAGTTAAGCGCCTGACTTCAGCTCAGGTCATAATCTCCCGGTTCGTGAATTCGAGCCCCACGTTGGGCTCTGTGCTAACAGCTTGGAGCCTGGAGCCTGCTTCACATTCTGTGTCTCCCTCTCTCTCTGCCCCTCCCCAACTCATGCTCTGTCTCTCTGTCTCTCTCTCTGTGTCTCTCTCTCTCTCAAATAAACATAAAAAAAAAAAAATGAGACTTCAGAAGGACAAATAAACTCAGAGCGGGAAGTGATTACAAATGGATGTTTTGCCTTAAGTAGCCTCAGAGAAGCTCGGACCCTCCACCTTCATGCACCGCGGGGCCCTCGCTATGGGCATTCTAGGGAAGCACACTCAGTAAGCGTTTTCCCTCAATCTCCCCCGAGACTCTAGAGCCAAACCCCTTCCATTAACTGGTAAGTGTTCAGTCTCAGCCTCTGTATTCTTTTCCCAGGGCTGCCCTTACCGATGACCACCAGCCTGATGGCTAACGACAACAGCAATGTGTTCTCTCACATTCTGGAGCCCAAAAGTCTGAAATCCAGGTGTGGCAGGGTCATGCTCCCCATGAAGCCTCCGGGAGAGGATCCTCCCTTGCCTTCTCCAGCATTTGGTGGCTCCAGGTGGCTCCCTGTGTCACTCTGATCTCTGCCCCCAACTTTACGTGGCCTTCTCACCTGTGTCTCTGTGTCTCAAATATTCCTCTGTCTTTCTCTAATGGGAACATTTGTCATTGGACTTAGGGCCACCCTAAATGCAGGATGAGCCCATCTCCAGATCCTTAATTACCTCTGCTAAGACTATTTTCCAAATAAGGTCATGTTCACAGGTTCTGTGGGCTAAGACTTGGACATATCTTCTGGGGGAACATTATTCAACCCACTATAGTCTCCAACAAACCAGACAAGAGTACGAGTTATTTATTTAAATAAACATGGAGGGCATCTGAGTGGCTCAGTCGGTGAAGCATCTGACTTCGGCTCAGGTCATGATCTCGTGGTTCCTGAGTTCATGTTCCCATGAACTCAAGCCCCTCTTCTCTCTCTCTCTCTCTCTCTCTCTCTCCCCCTCTCCCTCTCTCTGACTCTCTGTCCCTCACTCATTTACGCCAAATACATAAATAAATACAAACATACATACATACATACATACATACATACATACATACATACATCTTCATTGTATTTAAACACTGAAAGCCCTGAGACACTATGGAGTCAGAGGCTGGCATGAAGGTCAACGAAGGGTTCTTGAACAAGTTACTGAGTCTGTCTGAGCTTCACTGTCCTCATGTGTAAAATGGGGATAACCCGACCTGGGGTGGGGGGACCACTGTACAGGTTAACAGCAACTCACTTAGAGTGTCTGGAACCCCAATGTCTTGTTGACAGGGCTCTCGCCTCTAAGGGCTCTGAGCAAAATGTCCACAAGCACCTCAGGATAGTTACTCCTTGATCCAGCCACTATCAGGGAGAAGTACTCAGTCTTAAGTACTTAGAGAAAACAGGAAAGATTAAGGTAACAGACCTGCCAAAGGCAAGTAACGTCAGACCTGTAAGGAATCGAGGACTTCGGGTCACAAGAGTGGCCTCTCTCAAGTGGTCGCCGGTGGCCACAGTGCTTCTCCAATGATCCCAGGATCACCAACCTAAATATACAGCATGCCACTGCCTCTGGACTCCCCGGGACACGAGCTGTGTCTTATTTACCTTTGTGTCCCCCACACCTGGCACAGTGCCTGGCACTTAGTCATTCCGTAAACATTGCCGGAATGAGCCCGGGTATTCTGGAACCTCAGCTCTGGCTACAAACAATAATACGGATGAGTACCGTTGATTTAACGCACGTACTGAGTACTTCACGTATACGTTGAGTGGATTCAATAAGATAACACACCTACACATTTTGTCATGGTGGCTGCTCCAGAAATGACAGCGATCATCATTACTTATTTTAACTCTCGCTCCAATCATGGAAGCATTATCATCCCCATTTTACACAGCGGGAACTGAGGCAGGGGAGGGTCAGTCACACAGCTAATACCTGACTGAACCAGGGTTTGTCACACTTCAAAGACCTATGTGCTCTGCACTACACCGCCCTGCACCTGATTCGTATTACTTAGTGTTGGCTTTAAGGCTGGTCCCAGCTTGCATATCTATAACCAGACTATATATTGGTGTGTGTGTGTGTATGTGTGTGTGTGTGTGTGTGTTTATGTATTTGTATATGTGTATATATGGGCTATAGATTGGTACACACACAATACCGTCACCGAAAGAATGAGCTAGATAAGAACACAGAGCTGAAAAGCTTAAGGTCCCAGAGAACGTGATAAATTCCCTTGCACTGTCAGGCTCCTGAATCGCACTGCCAAAGGGTAAAGTGTCACATGTCACACTCTGCTGAGCTCATAAAAGCAACACATACAATGTCTTGTAAACTCTAGAGCCTCATCCACAGGCTTATTACTTGCTGGCAAATTCTTGTTTCTAAGCCTACAGGGAAGAAGAATGAACTGTGCTCAACATTCACGTCCCAGCACTTTCCTCTCGACCGAAAATCTCAAGGCAAGTGGTCAGGAAACACGACCCAGAATTAAAGAGGGTCCCAGCCACTGTGAACTTACAGGAGGAATGGATGCTGGGGAAGCTTTTGCGGCCCTCGGACACCAGGTCGGGGTCACCCGTGCAGTGCATTTCCGAGTTCATCACTCCATCTGGAAAGCAGCGGTAAAAGAAATCGGGGCGAGGTCTACAAAAGACACCATGGACATTTTCAATATAAAATGCTGCCATCACAAATGAACCCCAAGCTGACCCCCACCACTCCCTGCTGCCCCCAGCTCCTCCTGTCACTGACACCAGAGCTCCCCATGGACCATGGGGGTCTTGGGAGAAGCTCAGGCTTCAGGGTCAGAAAGCTCTGAGTTGGAACTCCCGCTTGGCCACTTACTAGTTTTCTGACCTTGGGAAGGCTATGTAGCCTCTCCCAGCCTCAGTTTCCACATCTGTAAAAGGGGGGGATCGATACCCACCCAGAGGTGAGGTTGTGAGGTTTAGAGGAGATGACTAGATAGGAGGCCCTAAGCACAGTGCCAGAGAAATAGAAGGTGGTTCCTGCCTCCATCCACAGCTCCCATTCAGAGGCTGCTCTCAGGACCCCAGACTCCAGGTTTCTCACGTCCCTACATCTTGAACTTGGATGGCCAATTGCCCCTCGTTGAATAGCAGGCTTCACCTAACTTCACTGAGAGGGAGGACCCGACAACTCGGCTCCATGATGCACAGCTCATGGCCATCCAGGCTGGCCTCTCTGGCCCACATCAAGGGAGGCAGACCTCACAGGAAGTGGGCGGAAGCTGGCCCCCTGAGGTCAAGCCACCTGTCGCAGACACAGCCAGCATTGACTGAGCCCTTCCTGGGGACTAGGCACAGTGCTGGGCACTGCACGAGCATCATAACGTATGCTTCTTATGCCATCCCTGGGACTTCCTTCATCTTACAGTTGCAAAAATGAAGGTTTAGAAAGGTAATACTCCTGCCCAAGGTCACATACAACCAGTAAGTGGCAAAAGCAAGCAATTGGATTCTTGCACCAACACACTTCACCCCATGTTTTTTTGTCTCCCTCAGGTGAGAATTTTTACACAGATGGGTGATAGCCAATCATTTACCATTAATTCAACTAATATTTGCTGAAGGCCAGCCATGGGCAAGGCTCTGCTAGTTCTATAAACGCTAGGGCCCTTTTCTGCACATATTGGGTCACGCTGACTTCCTGATCTTCCCAGCTCTCGGATCTAGGCCCAATAATAGTCTATCAATATCTATAACCTATCAATAATCAGAATCAATAATCTATCAGAGCTGCTGGTGTACTCTCTCTCCCCTTATCGGCTAATGTTCTCCAAATGTAGTTATTCACCTACTGAACCAGAACCTTAGAGCAGACAAGGCCTGGGAACCAGCATTTTATTGGGGCCTCACAGCAACTCTAAACAGAAAGTTGGAAGAATACCACAGCCCCAGGTGATGCATGGCCCAATCTGTATCCACCTTCTGCCCTCTTGCTATCTGGCCAGCACCCTCCACCAGGTAGATAATCAGTAAATGATGAGGTTCTGAGAGGGGAGCTAACCTGTCCATGGCCAACAGTCAGTCAAGGCTGAAGTCAGGCCTCAAATTCAGGTCTTTCGACCATTCACCTCTATGGAGACCAGCTCACTGCTGGAGCAGTCAACAGAGAGGCAAGATAAATGGAGAAGAGGAATCGCTTCCCATGTGCCAATCCACAGATGACCTTGAGAGTCTAAGCCATTTGTTTCTTTTTGCAACTTACCTTCCCACTATCAACTTAATAGTGTTTGTGCAGACTCCATTCAAAGCAAGAGCCAAGGATACTGCTACAAAACAAAACCAACAGACAGAAAAATAATGAGCTGGTTCCCAATCACAATCATCATCCTCATCATCGTCAACATCATCATCAACATCATCATCAACATCACTGTTCCATGATAATACTATTCGATTTATGACCATAGAAATATGAACCAATACTTTAAAAAAACAGAGGTAAGTCTGCATGGCTAGAGTAAAATATAATTAAGACAAGACTCCGGAGGGTGACTCATAAAATGCCAAGCCCCTATGACATGAAATTTATCTCTCCTCCCTGACTTTTTAATATTTTTAATATTGGAAAGGAACACATCCATTATGTTCTGGCCTGATAGGAACAGATTTAATATTACAGCATATAGAATTCCTCTTAGTGGTAGCAAGAAACTAACATTTTTCTTTCTTTCTGGCAATCTTCTCAAACATAATTCTAATCACAGCATCTGCTGGTATCCGTCTTCGGAGCAGGACATTCCCACTTGGCGATTATCTCTTTGTTGACTCTTCACCGGCTGACAGCTGTCCATTCGTTATCAAACAAATCACTTTCTGAGAAGGTAAACAGTCCCAACACCTCACTGGGTTTTGAGAAGGTTGGCCAGGTGGTACTTTTTTGCCATCTAAGGCAGTAGGAACTTCTGGAATATATTATTTAAAAATATACAGCATGGAAACTTTCTCTAAGTGGCTTGGAAGGATTTTGCTGGCTGAAGTACAGATCATCCAAAGGGAGAGAGCTTTCCCTGCAAGGACCTCCCAGGTCTCTCCCATATTTATCAAGACCTCACAAAAGGCAAGCCAACATAATGGAAGGTCAAATGCCGTGCATAAGCGATAAAAACCTATTGACGCCCCCATTCCATTGTCTTGTTGAATAATAAAACATATAAGCTACCGTTTCCCTTTGGCAAATATTAACTGTTCAATAGTAGCTGAGATTTATGGAAGAAAATAGCAGTGGCGGGACATTTCCAGGAAGGGACTGCCTGGACCAGTTCATGGTCATCAAGGGAGACAAATGTGTTCTGCAAGCAGAAAGTACTATGGAATGGCTGACACAGTCACTGAGGGCACCGGCCACAGAGATTGATACAAAACCTGTCTGCTTTTAACAAGTCATGGGAAGCAGAGAGAATGGGAGGGACCGGTTCAAATGAATACTTTTGTCAAAGGGAAACAAATTACCTAAGAGCGAGACATGCAACAACTGGCCATATCTGAGTGTGGCAGCAAAGGATGGATGGGCCACCAGTGTGAAGAGCAGAGCAAGAGTCACAGCCGCGCACTGCCATTAACACACCAAGCAGGCGACCGGGATGTATAAATCGGAAGCGAGCATGGGGGAATTCAGAGAGATCCCGCTGATTACATCCTGTACACACAGACCCTTCCTTCTGAAATGCTGGCTTCCCTCCTCTCTTGCCACCTCAGAACACTGCTGAGAGGTCTCCTTTGCAGAGAGGAGGGAAAATGCCCTGAGCTACCTTCACTGATGTATTCTCCCCAGAGCTGTAACAATTCACAGGCTGTGGGATCACCCTGCAGGACTGGGATCTTTTCCTGCTAGAGCTGGTTTGGCAGACTCACTGCTGGGTTTTCCCAGCTGGGTCAGACTCCTTTTGATTCGGGTCCTAGCATGGCCTCAGCACCGAGGAGGTCTCCGGAAACAAGCATTGCTAGCTGATCTCCCAACGCCCTTAGGGAATTTCATAGACCGCTACATGGATCCAGAACACCATACATGTCCCCAGCCTCAGCACCGGCTGGGTTTATTGTAACACAGGGCAGTTCTTTGAAAAGTTTCAAGTAGCTGAACTAGAAAATGTGTAGATGCGATGTAACCACCAACAGCTGGCAACTTCACTCTCTGATCTAAAAACCTGAAGGAGACAGAAGACAATCGGGCTCCTAACTGGTGCTATTTAGGGTGAAAGTCATCTCAGCATTCTGGAAGTAAACTGAACTGATTATTTTTGCCTGAATAGTACAACCCCTGGGGGACCAATATGGGGGCCTCTCACTGATACCAGAGGGCAGGCTGGGCCCAGATCAGATGCATGAAAGGCTGGCCGAGCAGGAAATGAATGGCCCCAATCAGGGATGTTTGTTGACTAACAATAACCCAGTGGGTCTGTTTCATAAGGGCTGTGTTTACAACATCCCACAGCACAGTGGGTTTGAGAGAATTACGCAAACAAAACCAAAGACAAACCAGACTATGTCCGATAAAGAAATTCAAAGTGAAGTGTCCAGTGAGTTAGCCTCTGAGAGGCCTGTATTGAGAACAATACTGCTTATGTGCATCCCAAAGGATTAGAGGGCTTTTGCTGTTACTTTGCTTGTTGGGAATTCAGCACTGTTGTATTTCCATAACAGGGGTCTCTGTTATGCCAATCGGCTGTTCTGCAGCCAAACCCCTAAAAGCCGGATGCTGCATGGGGGCAACCCTCACCCATCTTGTTCCACGGCACACGCACAAAGGTGGCCACTGTGGACATGCAGATAAAGGAAGGACTTGGGATTCAGGTCTGCTAAAGAAGGGACCTGAACACTAAACCACTCTCACTGAGAAAGTCCTGAACTCCAGATAACACTGGAAACACTACACGTGATTTTCTGTCCTTGGTTTTTAAAGATTACTCTTCCAGCCCCCTACTTCCAAGGCTTCCTAAAAGAAGTTATTTAAAAAAAAAAAAAAAAAAACCACCTGTGTACAACAGGAGGCTCTTTATCATTTTTACAGGGCAAGCTCTCATTTATTTAGGCAAACAGAACATCCAATAACTCCACCTTCTGTGTTAACATATAGGAGGCAGGATATGGTGTGCAATTTCTAAATGTCACTCTAAGGGAGATTTAGCAGAAAATGAAAAGGTCTAGAGAAGTAACTTACTGCCATAACAACACACAACTCCAAAAGCTGGCAGTAAATTATAACCATAACCATGAGAGACAGGTCTTACCCACAGTCATATTACCTTGGGACTCGGTTCCAGGGGAGCAACTAGAATAAAAAGTAAGGCAAAGGACTGCCAGGTCAACTGAGATGACTCCCAGTAGGATGTTTCAGGGACCATGGGAATATTTATCCAAACACTGCCCTGGCTGCTCCACCCCCATGTGGAGGGCACTATGCCCTCCTTGGAAAAACTGACTTTTCTGCCACATCAGCTGAGGGGACTGAGATCATGTGACTGCCAAATCCCCAAACCACAGATAAGCAGCCAGGTAAACACTTGACCTGAGATAGGGCACCTATAGGCTGGCCAGGGACTCATGACTTTTGTGTCCGGGTATGAAAAATGGGCTGAGCCAGAGGGTCTGCCCAGGAAGTCTGGTCCATTAGATGCAGAGGTACTTGGAGGTGGGCATTGGAGGTGACAGTCCTATGGGTGTGGGGCGGGAGCCTACCGCTGCAAGCTCGAACCCCATAGAAATCAAAAGTATGGGGCAGCAGAAATGATGGGCCCACTGGAGGATTAGGCAGGACACCTGAGAAGTAGAGGGAAGGCACATTACAGAGAGAAGCATGTCTCTATCCCTGTCCCGATGGCCCGGCTCCCTATTCTAGTTCCCATACTGCTCCTCTGTCCCTTTTCCCCCTATTCGTGGCTATCTGTGAGATTGCTGATATAACCCTGTAACTAAACCCCTAATTTATGTGAGCTAATTGGAGAGAGATTCTGTTCTGTTCAATTAGAGCCTAACCCAAGCCTGGTTATGTAAGAAATGTTCCCTGTCCTGTGTCAGAGCACAAAGCCCCTTAACTGTTCTGCCTAGCCAAGATTTTGCCCTTACACTCATTCTTGTACCAAAAAAAGAGAAGACCATGTTTTGCTACCTTTTCATTTCCTCAAAGCCTAATAATTTACAAACACACCCTCAGAGGGGCAATATCTCATTTTTCCAGATATATTATCTAACTGAATAATAAAGTCCATACAACACATCAAAAACACAGTTTATGTAAGAGTTTGGATAGCTTTTATGAGGTGTCAAAAAATAAACATAATTCAGTTTTCCTAAGGATCAGAAAGCTGAAAACCTGGCTATTGGGTATTATTTGGGTTACTCAGCAAGCCAATTACCTTTGCTTTCTCTTAATATTGTCATTTACTCAGTCCTTTAACTAATATGCAGATCATAAAAATGGGTTTAATCTTAAAAATGTCAAACTTGCGTCACATGCAGATACAGCTCAGCTTGGGGAGAATTTGTTACAACGGTCTTATAATCAATGGCAAAGACTACAACACTCTCTATACAATAAAAATTGCTTAATTTTAGAAATGTCCCCAAAAAGATGAGTTATAGAGTTTATTTCCGAATTCTGTTATATTTTACATCTGCTTTTGCCCATTTGTGCCTCCAGCCAATGGTGACAGGTCAAGAAATCTGTGCCTGATTTCTGAATTGCCTGTAATTTATTAGTCACAAATGTGGGATTTGGCAGTCAATAGTGACAGTTTCAGATCATCTTTGCCTTACCACTAAGAGCTACCCTGCTCCTGTGCCTGAGTAGCACAGATCTGGGATGTACAGACGGACATTCACATTCAGCACAATGGACAGCAGCCAGGCAGCCACCGAAGGTAAGGTGTTTTTTACCATCTGCAAATTGGCTCTTCTTAGGGCTAAAAGTTTACCTTCTCTTGTTTCTCCCAAGTTTAATTTGACCAAGAGAAAAATCAGCTGGGTCCAACAGAGATTTTTTAAATCTACTGATCTAATTAAGTTCAGCCCCATCCCCTAGAGCAAGAACTGTGAATACTCTACCTAAGAAGGCTTCCTTAATTTCAGTCTTGTCTGTTCGCCGGATAATTTTCACCACACAAATAACAGCCAGGGGTGTGAGGAAAGAAATTGCCTGGAAAAAATAACAAATAATCCCTTATGAGGACAGCAGTTTGCTATCAGAGGGCTGACTGATAATTAGTTCAAGTTAGTTTCATTTAGACTCACTAGTTGAATGATGTTACTGAACTCCTGACCTCAAAGAAGGAGGATTTATGTCTATACTTAGAGATTCTGACGACTTAAAAAAAAATTGGAGGTCTGATTGTGGGTTATAATTGATTTGCAATTGCTGGGAGCCACCTTTAAAGTGGTGGCTTTTTAGGTTTTTTGTTTGTTTGTTTTTTGTTTTTTTTAATGTTTATTTCTGAGGGGCGCCTGGGTGGCGCACTCGGTTAAGCGTTCGACTTCAGCCAGGTCACAATCTCGCGGTCCGTGAGTTCGAGCCCCGCATCAGGCTCTGGGCTGATGGCTCGGAGCCTGGAGCCTGTTTCCGATTCTGTGTCTCCCTCTCTCTCTGCCCCTCCCCCATTCATGCTCTGTCTCTCTCTGTCCCAAAAATAAATAAAAAACGTTGAAAAAAATTTAAAAAAAAATGTTTATTTCTGAGAGAGAGAGGGAGGGAGACACAGAGTGTGAGCAGGGGAGGGGCAGAGAGGGAGACACAGAATCCGAAGCAGACTCCAGGCTCTGAGCTGTCAGCACGGAGCCCAATGTGGGGCTCGAACCCACGAGCTGAGAGATCGTGACCTGAGCCGAAGTTGGACACCCAACTGACTGAGCCACCCAGGCGCCACAGAGTGGTGGCTTTTTAAACAGGGAAGAATAGCCTATAATGATGACTCATCTTTGCCAGAGGACCCCCTCACATCCTCCACTGCAGAAAGAACCCTTGGCCTCCCATCCCCATCTCTCTGGCAACACATTGGACTTGCTTGGAGTCAATCGATTCATTTTCTTTGATGTTCTTTTACTGAATTTCATTTCCTCCACAAAGCAGAGTTTAATACTTTTGCTTACCGTCTCCCTTCCTTTCTTCCATCTCCTCCCCTCCCTTGGCCCAAAGCACACAGAAAAGTACAATAAGTGTTTAATGAATCAAGCTGGTGGGATTCAGATGCAAGCAACATTGATTACAGAGCGCTCTATGAGGCAGGAACTATGTTTGGGTAGCATCGGGCACCGGTGTCTCTTAAATCCTCATGATGACTCTGTGACTATCTTTGCCAGGCTTGGGGACTAAATGATGTGCCCAAGGACATACAGCTGGTGAGTAGCAAGGCCAGGCTTTGGAGACCAGGTTTTCTGCCTGCCATATCTAGCCTTTATTCAGCATTCTACAATTAGTAAGTTGTTTTCAACATTCCAACAACCAGGAGAACAGTATTGAAGTTACTTCCTTACTGATTATAACACCTCAGGAAATAATATCAGAAGGGACTAATTACCTCACAAATTCACAACTGACCTAATACACAGTGGTAGGAAGGGTGGGGTTTGGTGACTATTGACCGATAGTGGTCACACCTTTGGAAATCTCCACCTGTAATGCAATGCCACTTTTTGGAAAGGGACTTTCTAATGGGGATAGGCTTGGCTAGAAGACACTTTTCTTTTATAAAAACAATTCACCCAAATGAACACAGTCTTTCAAAACGACCGGAGATGCTCTACACACTTGCTGCAACTAGATTGCAAGAGCTCAGCACATCCTGGGGTCTCCTCTCTGGGAACCATCTTCAGAGGCAGCTCATGAGACAGGAGAAAACCCCTCCCCTTGCTGGCTGGTTTCTTTCCCATTACAATGGCACTTACCAGCTGGATGAGCCTCCTTATCAGCTGTGGTCCTGAATGACTTAGCTGTTTAAACACCAAATCAGCAAGTCCTATCACCATGGAAGGTATTCAGAAGAATGTGGCACCAGTCTAAGGGCAGCTGTATAAGAGGAGATTCAGAACTAAAGCAGAGAAGCAGAAGATTTCCCCAAGGGCGACTGGAAAAGGCAATGCTCACTTGTGCATTAATACCTCCAGCGACATCTGTGAAAGTTCCCAGGGGTGCCTGGGTGGCTCTCACACTTGAATAACAGTCGGGTTCATTACAAAGCTGAGTCCCTCAAGTAGCCTTACAAGACCCGTCTGGGAATCTACATTTTGTACCAGGTGTCTCAAATGATACTGATGCTGGTGAGTCAGAGGTTTGACTTGCGCATTTAGTGTTTCAAGAGTGATGATGGAAGCCCCTGCTTACTTAAGTCCAAAGTTACAGTCAAGGTCCAAGAAGTCCTTAGCTCCCTGTTTCCTCTCATGTCAGACACGCAGACGAGGCCACACACTCCCCAATAGGGAAAAGCAGCTCACTCAACAGTGAATGGCGCACAGTGACCCCACTGATACTCAAACCTTAAATACCAGAATAGCGCAGGACTGGAGACAACATTACAAGGCAATCCCGGATGGAATACTCTAAGGTAAGACTGACATAAAACCCCAGAAAAGATACGAGTTGGCAAGACCTTGCCTACCTCAGAGGCTGCCTACAGGAGATCCTGAGCTGGAGTGTACCAACCAAGAGGAGACAGGGACACCACAGGGGAGACCGATAGCTCCAGGCCCATGAGCAGGAGCCGGAGAAGGCATCAGGACCACCCAGTGGCTCCAGGCTCGCAGCCTGATGGCAAGGGGATCTCCCTGAGCACCGCTTCCTGTCTCAGCTCCCCCCCAACTCTGATGGCCCAACCAGAGCCATCACTTAATTTCACCCCTTCTACAACTTTCCTATGTAGATGCACATTGGTCTGTTTTCTAGAACCACCAAGAAACTACTTCCTAGGCCTATGCTAGTCACCCAGGAGGGCGAGGGCTCCCCAGCTCATGAGCTTCACATGAGGGAATGCATCAGAGGAAGAGCCACAGCCATCATCCAGGCAGCCACAGAAATGTCTGTGCCTGAGGGTGTAGCCATCTTTCTTTCCTCCCCTCATCCTAATGACACTTGGGCTCCGATCCCACTTCTTCTTCCTGGAAACATATCTGCCGTATCCTTGGACAGCACAGTCTTCAAGTCAGCATAGCCCGAGACATATTTACATGTGTCATCTCTCCCCCTTTTTACCAAGATTTTCCAACTAAAAGGTAGATTTAAGAGATTAAGCCCCAGAAGCCGACCCATTAGGAAAACAACTTCCTTCTGGGCGGAAGCACCCCCGAACTGAGTAAGAGGAGTGGACACAAGAATGGGTACCCCCCTTTCACCCAACAAACCAGACTGAATGAAATCCAGGGCACACCCCTTCCACCGCTCCTGCAAAAGCCTTTAAAGGCGGCTGCTCCGCTGCCTGAGCCCTTGGAGACAAAGACACACAGACAGGAAGTGGGGGTGACCACTTCTACTTCCAAACAGATGTGGACATGTAGGACAAAGAGGCAGGCAAAATTTCCCCTGCTATTGTCTTCCCTTAGGTTAACTTTTCCAAGCTTTGAATGTTTTTTAAATCCTGGGAATGAGCCCAGTGGAAAGACAGTGAATGCTGAGGGCTTATTAAGAGGGACCGGAGAGAGACCAGAACGATGAATTCCAGCCAACCACTACTGCAGGACGCGGAAAACAGGCTGAACCCTTCTCCATGCTTGAGTTTCCCTCACTAGTTACGAGAACAGAGGGCTGCCCCGCGTACGGACGTAAGTGTGATAAACAGCGCTAATGTGCTCTGAAAACTTAATTAGGACCATGGTATGTTCTGGGCATTTCATGCAAATTAACATATTAACACACGTTTACTTTATGGATAGGAAACTAAGGCACAGAGAGGTTAAGCAACCTGCTGAAAGGCACACAGCTACTGAGTTGAAGTGGAGATTTATACCCAGACTGTTTTTATATCAAGCTCTGGGATTTTAGCCATGGTGTTATAGCAGTTCTCACCTTAGAAGTAAGAAGCATTAATAAAACATGGTAAATGCCTTTTCTCTGGAGTTGGAGGGGGAAGTAAGGGGGCTCACATCCGGGAACATGGGCAAGTCACAGAAATGTTAGGGACAGCTGTCATGGTTTCAGCACCTACTATGTGTGATGGGCTTCCCTCACATTTGTCTAATCTTCTAACTACTCTCCTGCGGGAAACATCCTCCTCACACAGCTAACAAAACCGAGAAAGAAATGAATTCTCAAAGGCACGCACCCGGTGGGCCTAGAAACCCCAACCTGCACTTCCGTGCTGCCTGGGCTGGAGTCTTGAATCGCAGCGATCACCTTGGTCCAAATGCCTCATCTTACAGGTGAGGAAACTGAGGCTGAGATCATTCTTGCATTAAAGAATGGCTTTGTAAGCTACTAATTAACTGTAGCGCACAGAACCCAAATATCAAGATAATATATCTCAGTCATCAGGCAGGGCCCATTTTGTGACTGGTTTTGCCTGGTGCTATTATACAGGCTGAGAAACACAACGTGCAGAACAGACTCCGATTAAGGAGAGCTGGGTTCAAGCTCCAGCTCTGACGCTTACCAGCTCTGTGGCCATGATCAAGTCACTCAACCTCTTCACCTTTGGATCTCCGTTTTCTCATCTCTAAGATGGGTGCAACAATACCATCCATAATAAATATTGCTACTGGGATTTAAATTCACCAGCAGTTACTGAATGCTTCCTCTGTACCACACACTAAACAAGGCACTGGAAGTCTATCACCCCACTTGATGCTCTCAACACTGTAGGAGGGGGAGAAGAGTGTTATCAAAGGCCCTTTATACAAATAAGGAAACTGAGGCACTGAGAGGGTAGGTGATTCTTCCAAGTCACATAGCTAGAAAGGGGATCTGAGGCAATCCAGTCTGGAATGTACAGAGAAGCCCGACCCAGAGAATCCAGCATCCACTGGATGCTACGATGTCATTACTTCCCCAGGGAAAAGTGTTAACAAATGACCCAAGCCAGTAAGGGAGTACCAGGATCCTGTGACCACACTACTGGGAACAAAGCGGTTTGAAGCTCCCGCCCCCTATGCCCTGAGTCTGAGCAGTGCGGGGAGGAAGTCAGGAACAGGGAAGAGCCTAATGCATCCAGGCAACCTGCCATTGCCTACACGACCAGCGACCAGAGTCTCCACCGGGGACCGGTCTTGTGCGTCCACCAATGAAACCAACACAGGAAGTGCTGTCAGTTCCTGGGCACTGCGGCTCCAGAAGGTGGGTCACCTGCGGCACTGATACAAGACACGGTACTTCCAGGATGCTTCTGGAAAATGACAAAGCAGGGCCAGTGTGTCTGACGTGGGAGGGGCACAAGTATACCGAGAACTTTTAACAACGAAAGGGCTCAAACTCTGATGTCAGGATGTTAACCAGAGAAGAGCTTGTCACCGGAGTTCATTCATATCAGACAAACAACAGGCCCGGAGTGCCTTAATTTCTGGCACTTGACAGATGTGCTGAAAAGTGCTTACAGAGACAAGCCAGGACATGCAGTGCAGACACCTGGAAAGGGCCTTGCTGTGGGTAAGAAATTACAGCCCATCACGGAGAAAAGAGCTGTCTACGACTTTTGCAAAGAGTCTAAAAATTAAACTGTCTATCATGAGCCAGCTTTGTCTCTTTTCCTTCCCTCCTCCCCCCAAAATTAACTTTCTGTCTTCCCTAGAAGCATTCTATACTAGAATAGGAAACACTGCTTTCGAATCAACACGGTATCAGTAATATTTTAGAGAAGTAAATCTTCTGGACTCATTGTGGCCAGGGCAGATTGTTTGTTTGTTTGTTTGTTTGTTTAAGCCAAGTAAAGCAACTGGAGGACACCAATCATCCCATCAACTCACTACCTGAGCTTACCTATCAAGAGCTTTCCTGGGTCCATCCAAGTCATGTTCGTGTCTGTGTCCCTGGGCCCTGTTCACTGGGCCCACAGGGCCCCTGCTTGCTTGTGTCTGTGCCTTGACACACCAGCTCTTCTGCATGCGATCAGCTTCTCACCACCTTTCCACATCACCTGAGCCCCGAAGGAGACTTCACAGTTGAATGGGTCCATGAGGGTCTAGCCTCTGGCAGCTGGCATTCAAATCGGGGTCTAGCAACTGGTGGTTGTATAACCTTGGACAAGTTGCTGAATCTCATTGCAGTTGTCATTTTCTCCATTGAAATGATGGGATTCCAAAAGTGATGACCTCAACAGGTTGTGACAGGGATTATCTCAGATGCCACTGTAAAGTGGTGAGCACAACTCCTGTATTCCAGAGATGTTACTTGTTGTTGTTACTGCCATGATGATGATGATGATGATGGTGGTGGGGGTGATGGTGATGATGGCGATGAGGAAGCTCCCTGCAAGTTTACCCAAGCCTCTAGCCCTCTCTAGATTCTATTTTTCTTTAGAGTACCATCTCTACCAGAAGCCTGTAGGACCCCTATATACAGGATATACCCCCCCAGATCTGATTTGACTTTCCCATCACCTGAAGCTCCTATGGCTTTTCTTACCCACAGCAGGCTGGAAATGTTCCTTGAATCTACAAAGACACAACTACTAAGACAGAAACAAAGAGTATACTGAAAAGCAAAAAACAACACAAACTAAGTCTTCCTACAGCAAAAAGCAGGTTTTCAAAGATGCTATGATAAACCCCCGCACTCAGGAGGGAACCATGACGTCTTTTGAATAAGGAAGCAGCTTTCCATAAAGACAGCTAAAAGTTTGGGAACTTCCCAGAAATGTTAATTCAAGACTCAGTATATGTGAAAAGAATTCTCAGCCTGTCTCTCTGGTCAACAGGAACCCAGAGTCATCAAGGGATACACACTCTCAGAATCAAACAATCCAACCACACCCAACTTCCATGTAGAAGTTCCATCGTCACCTTAGCTGAAAGTGCCAAAGACAGAGAAAATGAGAGGGGCTTCCTGGTGATGTTATCACCATTGACTCTGTACTTACCTCAATCCCCTACCATCTTAATACTGTTTTTGTGACCTCTGACCGAGTGGCTCCTCTAAAATATACATGCGTGTGCGCACAGGCACACACACACACACACACACACACACACACACACACACACCGCTCCAGAGGCACTAATTTCCCAATCAAAAGACATGTGGTTTATTACAAGCTGTCTTTAAATAACACTTTGGTTAGGAAGTTAAAAAGTTTGCCTTTAGATTAAAACACTCCAACCAAGGGGCACCTGGGTGGCTCACTTGGGTAAGTGTCTGACCGACTCTTGATTTCAGTTCAGGTCATGACCTCACAATTCATGAGATCGAGCCCCAACAGTCTCCATGCTGGGCATGAAGCCTGCTTGAGATATTCTCTCTCTCTCTCTCTCTCTCTCTCTCTCTCTCTCTCTCTCTCTCCTGCCCCTCCTCCACTCACACACATGCACATGCACTCTCTCTCAAAAACAAAACAAAACAAAAAACCCATTCCAACCATAAGTAAAACAGACCCCAAGATTTTTTTTATGTATTAAACAATAAAACTTGAGCCTTCTAAAGAAACCAACTTTGTTTTAAAAAACATTGAAAATATATATTTTATTACAGTCTTCCATAAACACCTGAAGGTTTTAATGGATCAAAGCAAACAGATGATATTTTATATTAAACTCTTAATAAAATCCAGGAGAAAAAAAATCTGATTTATGTGGTGACAAAGTATCTTTCCTCTTTGTGTTACGTGTATTATAAATTTATCTGCTGCTTTCCTCGTGTTATTATGGAGCCTGCATTAAATCTTGTGACCAAATGAATGAAATACATCAACTACCACTAACAAAACAAAAGGTTGAACTTATCTCCTTAGGAGATTCGAGGGTAGGAATCAGGATCTGAGGCTGAATACACTTCTATTCTCTGAGACTCACAGCACTGAATAACTCCTTTACTGCCTCCTATCCACCTCTGCCAACATGCAAATGTACCCCCTCCTATGTGTGTCTGCAGCCAGGGTATTTGTGGCATTTGTATCTAGACTTCAAAACAATCCATTGTTCACAAATCTAGGACACAGCCACAAATTTCTCACAATATCCCATATGAGCATTCATCTCCAAATTGTGTCTTACAGCACGTAAAATGTGAAATCTTTGAAGAGTGGGGATAAGTGATAAGAGCTTCTCCCTTTCAAAACCATGGCATAAACTAGCCAGACACACACTAGTTCCTTTATTTCTAGGGTTTATGGAAGATTTGAGTTAGAGCAGAAATGGAAAAAGTCTAATTTTAATACTCAAGTGTTAGGTAAAGCCTGAACTCTTCAATTCCCCCCTGAAATTTACAACAATCCAGTTTAGTTTCCGGTGGAAAAGCAATTATTAAAAGGCAAATAAAATAAGATTTCAAAGCTCTTGTAATGTGCTGGGCATTTCGGGATGTTTTCAGACAAAGATCTTTCTAATCATCACGAATTAACAAGATTTCTTTCATAAAATCAGAGGGATTTCTTTCAAGACGCAAAAATATTCTTCATGTGCTCTATGAAATCTTTAGAACAACCACGTAAGTTTCCAGAGGCACAAGACACAATGGCTGGTCAACAGGAATAGCCTTCAAGCTAGAAGACTAGCTCAACCAAAAATTACATTACTGTTCCGTAACAAGGAGGAGCTTAAATATTTCCTCTGCTACAGAAAGGCCTGATGGCAATTCCCCAGGAGGCCATTAGCATCAGCAAGGAGTCTTGGACACTCAGCTCCCAACCTACATGGCAGCCTCAGGGATGAGCCTGGGCTCAGAGCAGGCTGCTTGGATCTCAATCCTGGCTCTACCACTCACTTGCTGTGTGGATTTGGGCAAGTTCCCTCCTTTCTCTAGAATGTAATTCTGCATCTGCAAATGTGAACAAGACTGACATCTTTCTCACTGTAATGTTGGGTGGGATCAAATGAGATAATCCTTTCTTAAGCTCTCAGCACAGTGCCTGGCACATAGGAAGTGAAATGTAAAAGGCTTCAATAGCCACGGAGCAGGGTGAAGAGGTAAAAATAATCCTGCTATATCCACCAGCTATTTGGATGCTGGCCCATTTGTTCTAGAAGTAGAAAGGCACAAAACACTATCTGGGGATTGAGTCATATGAGGTATCGCATCAGAAGTCAACTGACCTGCTAGAACCAGAAGAGTGGTTGACAGAGCTATCTATATAGGGCCTGAGTTTGGCAAAACAGAGGTTTATTCCAGAAGGAGATGGAGCAGGAAAATCCATTTCTGGTCTTATTTTACCATAAGTATTTGGAAACAACTCGGCACAGCTCACGTAAGCCAGTCCCTCCTCTTTCCACGGTGTCAGGCAATTACTGGTTCCATATGGCCAAGCAGTGCCCGTCATGATCTGGAATGGAGTTTTAATGCCATGGGCTGCTCACCTCCTCTTTCTCTGAGACTGCTCACTGTCTTCAGCAAGGGTTGGCAAAGCAGAAATGGAAACCCATTTGGTTCATACTTGGGAGACGGGTCAAATCAGCCATGAAATCGCGGTACTTACGAACATGAGGCGGGTAGGTATGTTGTCTGATTGCACCAAAGGATTTTTGTAGAGCCAGATCTCTTCTGGCTGGATGACCCTCTGGAATGGGTCCAAAAACTCTGTGAAACTGAAACAAAACAAAGAAAGATGTGTGAGCGCTCTCGTCTGTTGCCTGCATTTCCCGAGAAGGCCACTCCTTCACGCCCTCGGTAGAGAATCCAGCCTCTGGGGAAGGAGGAGGGGATGACAGGGTAAAATGGATCAAAAGAATTACCGAGACATGGTAGACACTGTACAACTTTCTGCCGCCGAGGACCAATTCTGGGCATAAAAGAATGGTTGTAAAGACCCTAGGAAGTTGGGGCTCCAAAGTGAACTGAAAGCCGAAGGGCAGAATGGGGGCTCGGAGTGGGGCGAGGCCAGGCCAGCAGCCGGCTCTGGGGAGGAAGTAGGCTGGAGAAGGAACAAAGGTTGAAGAGCCACCGGGGCAAGTCTGGGGTTCTTCCCTCCCCTCCCTTACCCCGGACGGCGTGCTGACACCTCGTCACCAGTAGGGGGCAGAGTGAGCAAGAAAAGCTTCTGAGAGAAGACAGAAGGTTGGGCAGGAGGAAAGCAGAGAGAGAGGCAGGCAGGGAGGGAAAGCGGGGGGCAGTGAGGTGCATCCTGGGGCTGCTGCCAGGAAACCAGACCGCTTCCCCTCCTCACCTTGTCAGCCTCCCAAACCCTCCCACACCCTGGGAGCCCACAACACCTAGGCGGACGGAACCCAGTCACCACCGAGAGAAAGACGGGGAGCGAGGGGGCTGAGTCCGCGGGGATATGGTTTGCTTTGTCAGCTCGCGGCCATCAGGCCACCTCCAGACCCTCCGGACCCCGTTCTGTACCTGGTGAACTCAGTTCAGGATGGGGGTCCGACAGAGCCAGGCTGAGGCTGACTGTCTTTTCTGACCTCGTCTCCGAGTCTTGTGGTGTGATCTGGTTACACAAGAGTCTGAAAGTCAAGCCCGGGTTCCAGGGAGGGGCCTGGACTCCGCCTCTTGGCAGGGATGTGACAAGGTCCCGTCAGAAAGAAGCCAGTAAGATGACACAGGTGGCTTTAAAATAACAACCTGCCACCCACGGGCCGTCAGCAGTGTTAATGTGCCCACAGCCCCGCTCTCAGAGGCCCCAGAACCTTGATCCCCGTGTCTTCCCCACGCAGCCGGCACCGTCCCTCCTCACCTCGTTTGTCCCCCGCGTGTTACGACCATCGTGGCCATTTTTCAAAGCCTGCAATCAGCCTTTTGCACAATGCCACACCCCACCCCGAGGAGCTGCAGCCAGAACACATCTATCAAGCAAATTATATTCCCTGGGAGCAGCAGAGCCTAGAGACATAGATGTCCCTTCTCCAGCCACGCTCCGGCCACCGGTGCCTGCCCCTGAGATTCCAGACAGCAAGGCAGCTACGCAGAGGACCGTGGGTCTCAGAGGGCAAACGGGGGCAGAGGTGGGCGTGAGGCAGAACGGACAGGTCTGGAGACAAGACAGGGTGTTTCCAAGAAAGGGCAGCCCAGGCCTGGAAACCCCCTTCCATGAGCTCTCTGTAGGAGGTTTGGGAGCCAGGAAGTGGAAACCCGGTTTCTGCTGAGGAGGCCAAGCGCGACCTCCAATTACCTGCTCACCAGGGCTCACTAGGCACTGGGACCCCCCCCCCCCCCCCCGCCGGGGGCACGAGATCAGCGCTTCCCAAACATTAACGTGGCCAGGATCCACTTTGGGGTCTTGTGCTGACAGGAACAACCAGTCCTGGGTGGGGCCAGAGAGCTGGCATCCCCAGCAAGCTTCCCGGTGGTGCCACGCTGCCCGCCTGTCAATCAAACCGCGATTCGCAAGGAGCCGAGGCACTGGCATCAAAGGGAGGGAGCCTATTAACAATGCAGAGTCCCGGGGCCTCACCCAGATCTACTGAATCAGAATCTTCATTTTCAGCAAGAGCCCCAGGGGATTCATGTGAGCACTAAGGGTGGACACACAGCCTCCCGGGGATGGAAAGCCGGTGCTTCCCGGCTTCAGCCATTTGAGAACCAAGGGGCACCTGGGGGGCCCAGCTGGTTAAGCGTCTGACTCTGGGTGTCGCCACAGGTCATGATCTCACGGTTCATGGGTTCGGGCCCTGCATCCAGGCTCCATACTAATCATTAGGAGCCTGCTTGGGATTCTCTCCCTCCCTCTCTCTCTGCCCCTCCCGCCTCTCTCTCTCTCATTCAAAATAAGTAACGATTAAAAAAAAAAAAAAGAACCAAGTTGGCCAAGTTTTGCCTTATTCCCCCTTCCTCCCCTACTGTGACTTTCCTTGAGACTTGGTAAACTAAAAGCCTAGAAGAAACTTCATGTCACTGCTTAATTACAAAGTCAACATTCCCTCTGTCAACAGCCGGTAAATGGCAACATAAACACAATGAAAACAAAAGACCGCTATTAAATTCTTTGGTGCCTCTGCCTCTGAGAGGAGCCCACCCTCCCTGTGAAGGCCCAGGGAGTGTCTGTCCGTGGCCTTGGTCTGTCCCGTCCCCTGCAAGGAGGGGGAAAGACGGAAGGAAGGGGAAACGGGGAGGGGGGTGAGCGACCCTCTCCATGACTGCGGAGTTGGGGGCTCTCACCCGTGTGTAACCTAAGCGCACATCACACAGCCCCTAAAATCAGCTCTAAGCACCGCTGATGTCGTGGAAGCAGGTCAAAACGTTTTGATGCAGAAAGGATAGAGTTCCCACTAAAGGCAACCTCGCTTTTCTTTTGTGAAAACTGTACCTGCCCACAGCCAGGTGACCTGGCTTGCTGTTGGATGTAGATCCGAGATAGGCTTCTTTAATTTCTCTGCTGCTCGAATCGCACAACTGTCTCAATCTAACCGTATACGGATTTCTTCCTCGCAAAGGAGGAAGAGTGTTCTTGTTTTCTCCCTAAGTTTTCTAACGGTGCGGTTTGAAGAACTTGGAAAACATACACATGAAAATTCAGAGACATTATTCTAACTCTATGCTGAACAATTCTCTTTTTAATTCATGCATAAATCCTCCTGAGGCTGGGTTCCTATCCATACTCTCTTTCTCCGTCTCTGTCTCTCTGTCTCCTCATGGCCAGTCCTGTTTCCACAGCCCAGCCTGACTCTTAAGCAGCATACGGTATCTGCTTATACAGGAAGAGTGCAGTAGGGGAGAGGCAGTGGACCACCATCATCTTTGCCTCCTGCTTATTCATTCAACAATCACGTACTGAGTGCCTGCGATGTGCCAGGCACTGCCCTATGAACCCTGGGGAATAAAACACACGTGGTCCCCCTCTTACGGAGGTTACAGTCAAGGGACCATGAAGTGCCAACTGACTGGAGAATGAGAAGTCAGGTGTCAGAGCTGTCTACACAGATCGCCAGCCCACTCTGCTTTCAGGAGATGTCGGGTTAGGAGTGTTCCAGTAGGTGGACCCATGAGATGGCCTCTAATCTAGGGCTGCTTATGAGGATCCTAACCCCCTGGAAATGTCACAGGGTGTGGACCTATCACTGTCCACATGCTGAATGGGGCAACATTCAGAATTAGGAACCCAGAAGAATGGCCCATCTTGACATCACACTAGCAAGGAACAGTGAAGCCTCTGTCCCCCATGCTGCTTCTAACTCAAAGCCAAGTTCTCAAAGCTCCGCTATTACCCCCCCTTTAATCATATCACATACGTAGATGGCATAGCTTTTTCAAAATAGGTTAACACTTCAGTCACATACTAGACACAGATTTCTACCTCCTTTTCCCACAACCAAAAATAACACAAGATTGTACTGAAATATGAACCTAACCAGACCATTAAACTTGGTTCAAATCCCTGCTTTGGCATTTGCCAGCTGAGGGGCTTGAGAAAAGTCACTTAACCTCTCTGAGACTTCGTATCTTTCCCCCCACCCCACCCCCAGGATGGCTACACCTTCCAGGGCAATAATAATACTGCTATCATCAGCAGTAAGAAAAGTTAGGGTCTGCCAAGTGTCTAGGGCACTGAAGGCCTCCACTGATGCTCCTCCAGTGTGAACATCAACACTGCTGAGGACACAACGTGGGTCTGAGAAGGACTCCCCACCCCCATTCTCCCCAACCTTGGGGCAGGGAGGTTGCATTATGGGGGAAGAGGGTCAGACAGACAACGATGACAACTGTCACTCATCATCTGACCATTCTGTGAGCGACAATGGCCCAGGAAGTCCCTTTTGAACCTTGCGGTGTGATAAAGAAGTTTTCCAGGCAACAGCAAAAAGTAAAGCCTGTTCCTTAACTGAACTATTGACTTGCCCCATGGGTGGGCATCTCCCATGAGAGAGGGAAAACACTTACAAATGGGCACTGGATGCGGTCAGTAGACGGGCAAGTCGCTCCAGGCCCGGCAGGGAGGAGGTGTCTCAGACTTACTGTTAGTCCTAGGACAAAGGGTGGGATGAGGCCACGGACAGAATGTACTGATGAATTATCTCTGTGAGCCAGCAAGCCCGTGACCTGTCTCTGAACATACAGCCTTCTCCTGAGTTTGGTGGTTGGCCATCCCAAAGACAAGAGTAACAAATTTCATAATAACTGGTTATCACATTTGGAGCCATCTTGTGCCATGCCCTTGACCTGGTGCTTTCCAACATTATTTCATTTAATTTTCATAAGAGCCTATGAGATAGAAATTGCTGTTATTCCCATTTTATAGACGAGAACACTGAGGCTACAAGACAAAGGGTCTCTTGCCTAAGTCGTCACGGTTCTATGTGCCTTGGAATGTCCACTAATGCACGTCCTCCTCAGCACACAGTCTGGAGCTTTAAGGAAAGAACATGCAAATACACACACACACACACACACACACACACACACACACACACACACACTGCCCGCCAGTGTAGTGGCAACTGCAATTATTTGAATAAGAGACACAATTTTCCACAATTAGAAATATAGCCTTGCTCTTGGGAAATGCAACATGTTGATCTCAGTTCTCAGTGTGAAGGCTGAAATCAGATTCTTGCAGAGGGCAGTCGGATGTTTGTTGTGAAGGAGGGAAGGGAAGAAACAATGCACAGAGAAGGAGGTGGCAAGAGAAGTAAAGACCCCAAGAAGT